CTTCCTCGGGTCAGGTTATTCTACCCCTCTCTCCTGCACTTCCTGCTGCTGGAACCGAATCAGGTCACCCTGGATTGCTGAGTACTCTCCGGGCTGCACCAGGTCTATTTCCAGCAGCGCGCCTGCACTCCCCTCGCCCTCCAGGCGTTTCAGGTTCCGGTCCCGGACCCTCCCTGTCACATCCCCTCCCCCGCCCTCCAGCTGCCATCGGGCCCCTAAGGCAGTTAGCAGCTCCATTACCCACTCAGTGATTCAGAGCGCCGGAGCTGTGGCACCTGGAAACACCCGGGGTCCCTCCCCGGCCAAAGCGAGGCCTCCTGCCCATCTCAGTGCCAGGTCGACCTCCTCATTGCAGAGGGGAAGACTAAGGCCTAGACAGCTTCCTCACACAATGGCTCCGCACCAAAACAGCCCAGGTGATGATTCAATCCAACTAGCAGATTGGTGTGTGTTCACGTGGGGAAGGGGGGGTGTTGCATTAAGGAATGGGCAGTTCTAAAACGGGACTTGATAAAGCCAGGTGTGTTGGTGAATGACAGGGGGATCGCTATGAGTTCAGGGCCAGCCTGGGCTACATAGTGAGACCCTGTCTCAAACAACCAAAAATAAATAACTACACAGGGGCTTGACGATTATTTTAGAGTCTCCTAGGGCCCAGGGGCCGGGGATTTAGCTCAGTGGCACCACGTCTGCCTCACAAGCGCAAGGTTCTGAGTTTGATCCCCAGTACCACATACACACACACACAAAAAGTCTCCTCACTCACCCTACCCTTGTGCCCCTCCTGGCAGTGTGAAACAAATGCTGCAAATGAGAGCCAGGGCACCAACCACAAGCTTAGCAGTACCTGGCAAGGCCCTGGCTTGGGACTCCTGGCTGCTGGTCCCCAGCCTCTCCCCACAGGTCAGAGTGCAGTCAGTAAGATGTGAACCCACATTCACCAAGCTTCCCAAGCACTCAGCAAGCACAGCAGAGAACTGACAGACTTGTTTTCCCTAAATGTAGGAAGATGCATAAAATACAAGAAGCTTGTGAAAATACATGTATTGCAAAAGTAACATCGATCTTGTAAATAGATGAGTCTTGTTAGTTCTCTGTGGAAAGACATGGGTGGCGGAATAAATCAAATCAGCTCAGTATTTTGCTTGCTGAAGTGGAAGGGGAACTTAATGGGTCCCAAGCTGAGTAAGGAGCAATGAGACCTGTCCTGGGATTTGGGACAGCTTGGAAAACTCACTCCTTACCCCGTGTGGTCCTTTCCCCTCTGGGGGGCTCTACAAGGTAGGACCTGAGCCCTGTTGCCACCGCCCTGGGTGGCTCCTACTGCTGCTGCAAACTTCATGTGACTAAGGGCTGTATTATCTTCCAGCCCATGACCACACTGGTGGGGACAAAGTACAACAGAGGGCAGGAAGCCCAGGGGAAAGAGGGTTTATGAAATGAGCTCTCGGTGAAGAACATGCTGTGATGGAAGCAGGTCCAGGCCAGTAGGTGTAGGAAAGTAGAATAACTTCAAAATGCTCTTCAGACTTGGGCTAAAACACAGGGAGAGCACCTAATCTGAGAAAGATACTGCACTGTTTAGCAAAAACAGAATATTCTGATCTGCAAAATTAGCGCTGACAGCACTCAGGCCCACATCTGGACCAGGCACTGTGGTGGTTTTAGGACTAGAAACATGAATTGGTCTACCTGGAGGAGGAGGAGCCTCTGAATATGCACAAAATAACCAGCAAAGATGCCTTTGTTTGTTTGGGGGTGGTTGTGTGTTGCTTTTTGTTTTGTGGGGTGTGTGTCTGTTTGTCTGCAGCATTGAGAATCAAACCTGGGGCGCTCTACCACCAGTCATCTCCAACCCTTTTCTATTTTATTTATCTATTGGCACTGGGGATTGAACTCAGGGCCTTTACCTCCCCAGCTTCCCCTCCTGTTTTGTGAGATAGTCTCTCCCAGAGTTGTGTCACCATGCCTAGTTTTATTTTTTATTTTGAGGCAGTCTCCATAAGTTGCCCAGGCTGCCCTTGAATTTTTCATCCTCCTGCCTCAACCTCCCTAGTAGCTGAGATGACAGGTATGTGCAAGTATGTTTTAGGGGTGCCATAAAACATTTTGCGCAAGCTTGGGGCACAGAGCCAAAGTGGTGAAATAAATGGTGAAAGCAGAGGTGACTGTCCTAGCCATGCCTGCCCCTTGAGCAGATGTGAGGAAGGATCCCAGACAGCTTTCCTTCCTGTCCTGGCAGACTGCCCAGAAGCCCTGGCTGCTTCCCGGCCCGCCCTGCAGGTGCAGAAGAGGCGTGACAGGGCTGTTCTCAAAGCAGCTCCTGGAAAGATCTGAATGGTGCAGTGCCCACTGGGAAAACCTCAACACACCAAGGGGACAGGGGATATCATGCGCTGAACTAAAGCTAGAGCAGGGAACGAGGGGCACGGTCCTCCCGCACACACCCACCATGAACCTGCATCTTCCCACCGACCCCTCTTCTACCTCGTCCCATTTGAGGAAAGGAATAAGTTATTTGTGCTTCTTCCTTTGGCTTTCAGCATGGTTTTTTGTCCCTGAAAATAAACTGGAAAGCAGGGAAAGAGGAATACCAGTGTTTTTGTGCCTTAGTATAACAGGTAAGGAAAGTAGTAATATGTAAAAGGGGAAAATAACAAAAAAAAACCCTCAAAAGTAGTGAGTGACCAAACTCAATAAATGATGACTTTAAAAAACCTGTTTTGGCCAGGGATTTAGCTCAGTGGTTCCACCACCTACCTCGCAAGCGCAAGGTCCTGAGTTCGATTCCTGGTACCAAAAAAACCAAAAACCAACAAAAAAACCCGTTTCTGAGGATTGAGTTAGGACACATTGTCACTGGAAGTGGCTTCTCCTCCTCTCTGCAGCCTGGGCCCAGGGGTCTGCACTGGAGAGACTTCAAGGAAGTCGCCAGAGCTGGAAGAGCTTGGGGGATCTGACCTACCCAGAGGCCACCAGAGTGGTCTAGCCTGAGGCAAGGGATCCCAGAGTGGTCTAGCCTTCGCTACCGGTCCTCAAAGTAAACGAAGCCTAGGAACTCACAGTAGTGTAGCCCAAGCCCCTCGTGTTCAGGCTGGCACACGTGGCCTCCCAGGGCACCCTTGGGGGTGAGTGACACCAGGACTCCGAATCTCACCAGGTCCACCGCCCTGGCCCTCGCCCGGGACCCTCGTCTTTCTAACATTGCCAAAAGAGACTGAAATTTCTGGCAATGTGTGGGACTCATGTCCCTAGCATTGTCCTCTTTTTCACAGAGAAAAAACTGAATTAAAAAAAAAACACACATCTATACTTGCTGGGAGCACTGCGCTGTAGATCACTATGGCCAGGCCTAACTCACCTCCTCCTGTGGATGTGGCAAGGCCCCAGTGGAACGAGGAGCATGCATCTTGTTCGCTTCCTCCCATAGACGAGGCAGGGCTCTGCCGGAGAACAGTCGACAAGAGGGCGTGGTGAAGGCCTGGCCGAGAAGAGGGCTACCTTCCTTCCTACCCATTCGCCAGAGAAACATCAAGCATTATCTCTAGCAGACCCTAGCCATTCTCCCTGCTCCAATCAGGCATCCCCTTTCGGTTTCCTTATCTACACTATAAACAGAGGTGCTGAGGACGCAAGCCAAGATTTTTGTCTCATACGGACAGTTTTCACCTGGCCTCAGCTATGTAAACTTTACTGTCCTCTTTGTCTTATTCTTTAAATTTCTTAATCTCTCACGATCGTTTCTCACTCCGTGAACTCTTGAACCACTCGGGCCGTGGCAAATACTCGTTTAAAAAAGCAAAACAAAACCGGCATTTAAGCACAGACAAAAACGAGGGTTCTCCCAGTGCTCCAGGTACTTTGAAATCCCCAAGACCCATTCGTTGTTCAGAAAACAAAACGAAACAACACGACTTTCTGTGCTCCCTGCCGCGCACTCACGCCCCCCCCCCAGTAGCCGTTCTTGGCACGCACAAGCCCAGAGCGGCGACCCGTATTTCCACGGGACGTTGGGTTTGCATCCATTTAACCCGCTGTTCGCAGCCGCCCTTTGCCGCCACCTGTAAGAGGCAGCGCCATGACACTGTTTCACTGTTCAAGTGGCTGGGCCGGGAACCCGGGGTACCCAGGGGTTTTCTCCGCTCGATCGCAGCTGAATCTGTTAAGTGGGTGGCATTTGGGGTGTCAGGGAGACAGCTGGGGACATCACACTACAGGGATAGCGGCGCGACGAGGCGCGTAGACGCGGGCCCTTCCCCGGCAGCTCCTTTCGGCGGCCACAGCGCGCGGAGGAACCAGCCAAGCCCCCGGCACTGTAGTTTCCGGCCTCACAAAGCGTCCGCAGCCGTTGGTACTGCACGCGTTTCTGCATCCTCAGGGCCTGGCACACGGGGGTGACGCTCGCCGCGCGCCACCTGCGCTCCTGTGCGCGCCGCCCTCGAGTCGCCACTGGTGGCGGCCCAGGTGCCGTGGGGGCGAGGGCGAGAGGAAGTCGAGGCGCAGAGCGGCAGCAAAGCTTGCTTGGCTTCCCTGAGCATCGGCCGCAACCCCGAGTGGGGGTGGGGAAGCAGAAGGACTCGCAAGTTGCCCCCCGCACGGCTGCCGGCCTGGCGCCCCGAGCCCTCCGAGGCTCCGATCTCCGGCCGGGGACGCTAGGACGCGGGGCGAGGGCGGCCCTGGGCGCCTTCTGTTTCAAGGAGCCGCACTTCTGGGAAGGGACGGGGAACTGTCAATCAGCGAGGGAGGGAACGCACCGGCGCGGGGTGATGTCAGCGGATCAGCTGCTCGATAACAAAGAGGGGGGATTCCGGGAGAAAGTTGCCGTGGCCACGCCGACACCCCAGAGCCCCGGGGGCGAGGGGAGCGGGGGCGAAGGGAGGGGGCTCGGCCGCTGCGTCAGCGGCTGAAGGCCGTGGAATTGAAAGGGCCGCAGGGGGAGGCACTGCGAGCCAGCCCCGGCTGCTCCTCCTCTTCCTCCTCCTCCTCCTCCTCGGGACTAGCAGGGCTCAGCCCCAGCGCTCGCTCAGCCGCCGGGAGCGCCCGGAGCGACGGGAGGCAGCGCGCGGCCCCGAGCCGGCCGGGTCCCCAGCCGCCATGGATAGCGACGAGGAGATAGTGGAGGAGGCTGTGGAAGGTACGAGCGATCCTCCGGGCCGGGCGCGCAAGGGAGGAAGGAGCCGCCGGCTGCGCCCCGCGCGGGCCCGGCCCCGGGGCGCCACTGTCCTTACGCGGGTGACCGCGGACAGCCCCGGCCCCGCTGCCGGGAGCGCGCGACGCGCAGGCCGGGGATGGGGCCCTGGGGACGCGCGGCCGCGGCTCCACCCCGCCTGGCCGCCCGCGTCCTCCGGGGTCGGGAGCTGCCCCGCGCGCCGGCCTTCTCGCTGGCGGGGAGGGGGTGCCCGGCCGTCTCCGCGGAGCAGCGCTGCAGCCCGGGGTCAGCAGCCCCGAGCCTCCCGGGCCGCAGCCCTCTCCTTCCGCTCGCTTCTGGGTCCCGTGGCCACCGAGGCCGCGTCCGGGTCGGTCCCCCGCGTCCGGGTCGGTCGGTCCCCCGGGGGGCCGGAGAGGCACGTGGCGGCCCCGGCCTCTGCCCGGAGAAGATGAAGTCACCGCGGGGCCGGGCACCACGCTGGGGTCCCGGACGCGGCGGCCCCGCCCCTGCCCCTCCGGCCTCTGAGACGGGTGCGGAGCGGGCGCCGCGAGCCCGGCAGTGATCGCGGGTGACACTTAACTTTCCGAATTCCATGCTCCGGCTGCGGTGATCTCACCGCCTCGGCGTCGCCTTTCTCCGCCCCTTCGCCTCTGCCGCCCCTCCCCCGGCTGTTCTCGCCACTTTGTTTTGCCGAGTTCTCCACGTCTTTCCTTTTTTTGTTTTCTGTTAGTTCTGAAACATGCTGTAGAGACGTTGTACAATCTGGTTGTTTGTACCCTGAGATGTTATGATTTTGTAACAGCGAATACTGGCAATTACTCTCGCGTATTTGATTCTACTCCAGACAGTGCGTCGTGATTATTATTCCAGTGGTTATTATTCTAGAATATTTTCAACCAAGCATCTCAGTAAATAAGTTTTAGCTTGGTTTCTATCTAATTTATATAAACAAGTTCTTACAAACGAAAAATAAAGTGGCAATGCTTTACAAATGCCTAAGAATGCACCGTTAGTGCTATATTGGGAGGAATCAATTATGTTTTCATACATAACTCCTTTTGCGTTGCTCCTGAAGGGATAGGGCGAGAAGCAGAATAATATTTCTGGCATTCTCTACAAGGGATCCAATCTTAATGTAAATATAAAAACATATTTCTTCCAAAGACAATTTAAGTGTGTGTTTTAACTTTAGAACATTTTCACTATGTCTTGAGCTCACTAAGCTCGAATCTGTAACAAGTAAATTCGGTGTTAGATTTAGAAGGCCCGAAGGCATTGATCGAGTTGGTCCACAGGGAGCATTTGAATTTTAAATTTACTGATTTCTCCTGGCTGCAGTGTTATGAAAGAAAAAAAAATGCTCTTCTGAAATTGTTAGGGTTTGCTCCCATTCCTCAAAGTTTACTTTTACTTGTAAAAATTTAATACAGTAAAAATTTCATGCACACTCTGGATTACATGTAATATAATTACAGGTGATGCTTCCCAGATTTAAACCACCTTCCTTTGTGAAGCTGTTTAGAAACATAAGGTACCATTTTCCGTGGTTCTCTGGCTCTTTTGCAGAAGTGGAGAAGAGCTTTAAAAATCTCTCCATGTTGTTTTTGAGATTAGATTAGAAACAGGGACATTTCTTTATATAGTTATATAGGATGAGCATATATATATTATTGTCCTAAATAAGAACACTCTTGTGGGCACAAAGAGGCACTATTAATAATTATGCTAGGACACCTGGCTTCAGCCTGGAATGTCTTGGGCAATCTGGGACACACACTCAGTTGTACCTAACAGTATACAATTAGAGTAACTTTTAATTTTTCTGTATTAAATGGTTCCCGGGATAGAACCCAGGGCTTCACACATGCTAGGAAAGAGCTCTACCTTGAGCTACACCCTCAGCCCCAGAATAACTTTTTTTTTTTTTGGTCCTGGGGATCGAACTCAGGACCTTGCGCTTTCGAGGCAGGCAGCAGAACCACTGAGCTAAATCCTCAGCCCTCCCAGAGTAACTTAATCTTTAGTGGTCTTTAGAACAGCCAGGCATGGTGGTGCAAGCCTGTAGTCCCAGCAACTTGAGAGGCTGAGCAGGAGGATTAATTGAACCCAGGAGTTCCAGGCCAGCCTGGGTGGCATAACAAGAGACCTTGCCTCAAAAGAGAAAAACCCTTAGCGGTACCTCAGGCTCAGACTCGAACAGCTCCTAGAGCACATGTGTGTGCAGGCAGTAAATTGCACCCATGGGCTTTTCTCTAGTGCTTCTCAGCCTTTTCATCACTTGTGCAGTGGTCTTTGTTTAATATCTAACACACACAGGGGAGTGGTACAAACCGCTTACGATTTTTTCCCAAAGAGAAACTAGCCTGAATATGTTGGTATTAACCTACCTCTCTCATAGACCCAGCCTGTCTTCCCAGTGGTTTCATTGTCACAGCTATTATTATCGTCGCTATCATTGTTTAGTTCCTATTATGTGCAGGTTCTGTGCTACATAAGGGTTTCGGAGACAGTACCTATTCAGTCTTATGAGATGGGTACTAATATTATCCTGATTTTTGCAGAAATGAGACAGAGAGACATTCAGAACTAATCCAAAAGCAGTGAGGAGGGGAGACAGGAATCTTTGATGAGTCAAGTACATGAAATACTTGGTAACAGAGTTGAGAAGTATTATGCTGGCATCATTCTTTATCAGTGTAACTCTTCAGAGGTTGTTTCTGATAGAGTTCAGTATCTTCCACAAAAAGGCATTTGGGAAAAGAGGATTTAATGTTCAGCCTCTACAACAGACACGTTTTTTCTTCTTTTCCTTATTAGAAATTTACACTGGGGAAGAAATTGACCTCTTCAGGACTTGAGTTTAAATGTCTTAGACATCATATACTGTCTGTGTTGTATCTCTCTCGGAATGGAATTGTAAACTCAGGGTGATTGAATTCCTGAGGGGAAGTGGGGTCGGGGAGGATGTTTCAGGAGGGGACATTCTGTGTACCTGTGTCAGCCTTGCTCCTGCTCCTTGGGGGAGGCAGCAGGCCCTGGGCCTCAGAGGGCCTGAGATCACTCTCTCTCTCTCTCTCTCTCTCTCTCTCTCTCTCTCTCTCTCTCTCTCTCTCTCACACCCTCTCTCTCTCCCTGATAGTTTCACCATGTTGTCCAGGATGGCTTGGAACTCCTGGGCTCAAGCAATCCTCCTGCCTCAGCCTCCTGAGTACTGGACTATAGATGTGTGTGCTCCAACCCAGCTCTTGCTGTGGCTTTTTAAAAAGTCTGAGTAGCCAGGAGTGGTGGCACACACCTGTAATCCCAGAATTTAGGAGGCTGTGGCAGGAGGATCGAAAGTTCGAGGCCAACCTGGACTACATAGTGAATTCTGGGCCATAGAGAGGCCCTGTCTCAAAAAAACAAATGACAATAACAACTACAAAAACCAATCTGAGGCTTATGGATCTGTAGAAAGTGATGTTCAGTTTCCAATGTTATCCTTTAGGACCTTTGGAAACAAATATTTACTTTTGTATCTATTTTTTTGTCTATTCATTGATACAAAGATAAATAAAAAGAAGTGCCTAATATCAGTTCAAATAAATATACTGCGTCTACATAGATGAGTTCCACTGCTTGAGAAAAAAAAAATCACACGTCCTTGCAGCTTGGGGAACATTTCCCAGAAGAGGTGGCACAGTAGAGTTGAGAAGGGGACTTGGTGAGGGCAGATGGTCAGCCCTGGAGTTAGGCAGAGGATAACTCTTCAGTTCTGCGGGAACATGGGGCTTCCAGAGAGAAACAGGAGGGATACTGGAAGCGGGGGCGGTGTCTGGCCGCCACGTCCTCGAAAATGGATCGGCCGTGCGTATGGCGCACAAGGCAGTGGAGGGGCTGACGCAGCCAACCCCAAGTGCAGTGACGAGGACAGACCGGAAGTGGAGACCGGAAGTGGTGGATAGGCTGGAAGTGCAGTGATGAGGACAAGCCGGAAGTGGAAATTCTAGAAACCCCTAGGAGACACTGAGGAAAAATACTCCAAAAAGGGAAGTATCAGAATCCCCAGAACAAGGGGCCGGGACGGAAAAAGCAGCTCAGTGTTCCTTTTCCCAAACCCCTACAAATAGTAAGAGCGTTTTTACTAACAGCCCCGCCAGTGTCCAGGCCTGTGGGTCTGTAACAGGACATACACAGACTAAGTGCATTGTGGCACCCGCTCCTCGTGCACCGCGTATTAAAACCATGGCCCTCACTACCAAGGGCCAAATTCCTGCGAAGAACCAGCCTCAAAAATCAAACATTTTTGACCACACATGTGAATGTATCACGAGGACGTACGTGTTCTTCGCATTTCTCAGCTTGCCTGTTACTGTTGTATCTTTCTTCTTCTCAGCCGTGTCTTCGTCTGCAAATCCCACAGCGTGTGTGAGGGACTCTGGTTCTGAGCGAAGCACGCACGCAGGCTCTCGGAGGCTGGTGAGTAAGCCCGAGGCGGCCAGCGCCAGGTGCCTGATCCGGAAGGAATTTCCTGCGCACGCAGAATGTAGGCCTGGCTGCCATCCGCCGAGGGAAAAGCCTCGCCAGATGTAACTCAAGGGAAAAATTTAACTTTCCATCCACTCGGTAGATAATGATCTTTATGACAAAATGAAAAATAGACTTGTGAAATTGTTACTTTTTCTTTTCCATTCTCTACGTCCAATAAATATGTGGCCAGATGCAGACACGGTGTTACAAACCAAGAGCCACCATTCAAATCAATCTTCGCTGTTGTTTGGCCTGGCGTTCACCCTGTCGAGAGGGAACTGGCTGGCAAGGCTGTCGCCTGACTTGGCGAAATCTCCAAACTGACCTCAATCGGAGCTAGGAGGACTGGTGTTTCTTTTTGAGTTAGATACCGCTGGCAAGGGACAGGAATTTGCAACCAGGATATGCTGTGGAAAAATCTTGGCAGTTCTGGGAGGATTATCTTGGCCACAAAGTTGCCTTCCACTTCTCTGCTAGGGCTCTGCGCAATTCTATCCTTTAGAGATTCCTCATTCTACTCTCAGCAAGAAAGAAAGGGTGCTCAGCTCGTTTGCCCTCCTCTAGAGAGAAAATGGACAGATTTGGGGAAGGGGCTTTTAGCAGTCATCAGCGCAAGCAGTAGTTCACGTGTCCCTTGGGCAGGTCAGGTGGCATCCGTGACTTCATCTGTAAAATGGAAATTTGGGAGATTACTGTGAGATTTAAATTTGATAATAGGAAAACATTCAAAGCTAGGAATTTTTTTTCTTCTCTGTGTATCAGTAACCCACTCCATTAAATTGACTATTACTTGTGTGATACGTCACATGTTCTTATTGTCCAAATGGTATTTGAAAAGCATTATGTTGTAAGGAGATGTAGGTGATCCCATCTCTTCTCATCCTTCATTTCTTTGTGGTGACTGGTTTGGGTGTGGCTTGGGTTTTTTATTTTTATTTTTTATTTAAAAAATTTTTTTTTGGTACCGGGGATCGAACTCAGGTCCTTGCGCTTGTGCAGCAGGTGGTGAAACCACTGAGCTAAATCCCCGGCCCCAAGGGTTTTTTAGATATAAACTTATGTTTGGAAAACTACTATGGACTATTAAATATGCAGAGTAGAAGTCTTGAATGATCACGACCTCCAATTTCTTCGTCCTTTAATTGATCACATCCTAAGGATGCAGACAACAAAACAAGTCTGTGGTTTAATAGATTTTAGACCTCTCTCACAAGCAATCTAAAAACCTCAAGAGTGGCAGGGAAGGGGCTGGGGATACAGGTCTGTGGTAGAGCAGTTGCCTAGCATGCACAAGGCCATGAGTTCTATCCCTAGAGCCAAGAAAAAAATTTTTTTCCATGATGAGTGTTATTACGTACTGCAAACATGGAGTAAGTAAAATTAAAAAAAAAAATTAAATATCCGGAAAGGGTCACATGCATACTAAGTACCTTTTCCTAACTGCATACTAGGCAAGCTCTCTACCACTGAGCTATGCCCCAGTGCCCCTGAAAGGAAAAAAAAAAAGAGGGAAAAAAGAGGCATTGAAACAGGTATCCCTCATGGAGCAGGGTTGAGATTTTTGTTGTGCTTTTAGTTGGGATCAGTAGTGTGTTATTTGATACCTCCCGGTTTCTCTATCTTAATTCCACAGCCCCGTCCTTCACTGATTTGTTCAGAAATAGGACAAGGTAGAGGGAAGGGGGGATGAATTTACATTGTAGTTTTTTTCTTTTATACACATGGTTACAATAACATTGCTCTTGATCTACAATGAAATAAAATCTGTCAACATTAAACTTTTTCAAGTCTGAAATACGTGAACTGTTTTTTATGAGGAAAGCATTTTCAACAAATTAATGAATACTCTCCTGTTAGGCTAACCTGATTATTCTGATATTTGTACCTAAATCAAAAGTAGGACACCAAGGCCGGGGATTTAGCTCAGTGGTTCCGCCGCCTCCCTCACAAGCTCAAGGACCTGAGTTCGATCCCTGGTACCAAAAAAAAAAAAAAAAAGTAGGACACTAAATCTATAGGAATGTTAATGACTAAATTTAATTTGATGTCAACAACATTTCATAAGGAAAGCTTTTAGCTATACAGTGAGTGGCTTTTTGTGAAAAGGAAAAAAACTGAGTTTCATCTCTCATGATGAAAATGTCACGAGGGGATATTTAGAAAATGATGGTCCTTGGGCCAGAGGGTTTAGCTCAGTGGTTCTGTCGCCTGCCTCACACGTGCAAAGTCCCAAGTTCAATCTCCGGTACCAAAAAAAAAGAAAGAAAGAAAATGATGGTCCAAGTTATTTCATATAGTTCAAGTGTCACTAAATTATGTTAGGTACCATTGGTTTTTGTATGAAAAGGAAGCAATTATGGCCTAGTTTCTTTCTGACTATTAATTTCCTGGCCCTTGTAGAAAAAGTTTGCATTTAGGGGAAAAGAGCTATCCAGATGGTGAAGTATTTAAGTAGCCACGTTTTATTACACCGTGTTCAAGGTAACCCATTCTATGGGGAGTCAGATGTAGCAATAGAATATTGTACTTGTCTGCTGTTATATTATTTCTGTGATCTAGTACAAATAAAGAGTTTATTCTTGGTAAGAGTGCTCACTATCTCTTCGAAGGGATAATATTCTTGGAATTTTTTTTTCGTTTGAGGTGCTAGGGATGGGACTCTGGGCCTTGCACTTTTATCATGTTAGAAGAAATTTTAGGAGATGAAAGCACTCATCGTGGTGATACTGATTGTGTTTTCTTTTATGCCTGTGAGCTACCTGGAAGCCACATTTTAGTGTTTAATGTGCCTGCATTGCACAGTGGTTAATGTTTTCGTCCCTTTTTCATCCATGACCCAGGTGGTTAGCCAGGAAAAAACCAGTAGAGTAATGGCTGCTTTGGTTTTCACCCATCTCTGTAAAATCAGTCCACCGGAATGACTGGGCAGACACCAATGGGGTGACTCCTGGGGTTTGTGAAGTATGTGGAGAATAATGGGGAACCAAAACAGTGATGGAAATATGCGTGTTACAGTATAGTCTGTGAGCCAGAAAGAACCAGCAATTGAAAGATCAGGGCTATGACTGCTGCCGAAGTTCAGGATCACTACTTAAGTGGCTACGAGGACACTTCTAGCTCCGTTTAAAATCCAACCCCCTGACACACACACAGTGTAGGAGGTTATTGCTAGACATTCAAAGCTGAACAATTTTATAAAGTAAAACAGTAAAGGTAAGCTTAAGTTGAAGCTCAGAAGGACTTGCAGTCAATGAAGTGTATAAATATCGTGGTAGTATTGGAGATGTGGCTCTGTCCCTTGTTGTCTGAGTGTGACATGTGACTGTGGGGTTTTCAGACTGGCTCCCAGTCCTCCTCATCCTACTGTAGATGATACATAAAGTCGTATCACATACTTGCAAAATGCAGCAGTTAGATAATGTATCCCCAAAACAGAGTAGCAGGCAACAGGCTATGATTGTGCATCCTGAACCACAGTTTGGTAAAGCATGGGAGATGGAGGACATTCGTTCCGGTTAGAGAAGTGCTATGTCAGGAAGTACTCAGTACATTGTAACCAGCACTGCAGATAATCTTACAGTAACCTTCAGTACCAGGTAAAATGCAAGCCTGTTTCTAGCTCATATTCCGAAACGTGTCAGTGCCCCTCTGTGCAGCTCTGTTAGTACACGAATCTGTGTAACCATCAAGTGCCTGTCCCAGGACAGGGGGCTGAGAAAGCTTTGCGCACTCGGTGGCCTTGTGCCAGGGAAGGGGCCCTTTGGTGGGCAGCTCGGGAGCTGGACTGTGTTAAGCCTCACTGTGGTTTGTTCTTAGGGCACCTGGACGATGATGGATTACCCCACGGGTTCTGCACGGTCACCTACTCCTCCACAGACAGATTCGAGGGCAGCTTCATTCACGGAGAGAAGAACGGACGTGGGAAGTTCTTCTTCTTCGACGGCAGGTAGTGTTCTTCTATGCTGCTGTGTTCTGCTCTGGTTTGTGTATTGCGGGGAGGGGCGAACTAATTCCTGTGAAGGAAATGGCTACAAATCAAGGAAGTCGGGTGGCAGTTTTTGTGCCTACAGCATGGACTGCTTTGGTGACCGGAAGTGACCCTGGTGGCTACAGGAAGCCAGCCTGAGGTGTGCTGAGCCAGTGCATGCCTGTCCAGAGGATAAACCGCCACGGTGGACTGGGTGGGGGAGGTTTGCACAAACTCACTCCCTGGCCACCCTACCCTTCACGGAGCCCACCTGATCGTTCTAGCACTGTAGTGCCTGTAATGAAGTCGTCCAGAGGGGTTCACTTTTGTTGGTGACCAGTTTGTTCAGTGAGAATAGCGGCCGGTTCACACTCTTCCAAGTGTAAGGTTCACCTCGCTGCGTTCAGCCCACTCTCCCAGTTGTGATTTCTCTGTGTCCTGAAGGAAGATGGGGCGACTGCGTTGCTTGCTCAGCTTTATGCGTGCCTCACTGTGTTCCCTGGCCCCCGTGAGATTGCTGAAGAAAGTACTTGGCCAAGCTCCTCAGGCCACATCATCGCAGGCCGAGCAGTCTGACCAAGACGGGTACATGCAGGAGGCTGAGCTCCTGACTCAGTCTTTGGGACAAATGGTGGGGGTTTTTTTGTTTTTTGTTTCTACCGGGGATCCAACTTGGGTCCTTGCACTTGCACAGCAGGCGGCAAAACCACTGAGCTAAATCCCCAGCCCAGACAAATGGTCTTTTGATATGATACCTCCTCGATAATGTCAGGACTAGTGTTCCCCACAGTTCTCTAGTTAAAATTTTTTTTCTTTTTATTACTGTGGATTGAACCTAGGGCCTTTGTTGAGCTACATCCCTGGCCCCTTTTTGTTTTTTATTTTGAGACAGGGCCTCCTTCATAAGTTACTAAATTGCCCAGGCTGGGCTTCAATTTGCAGTCCTCCTACCTCAGCCTCCCAAATTTTGGGATTACAGGCATGCACCACCATGCCCAGCTCCTGGGGAAAATACTGTTGCATTCTCCCTTTGTTTGAGGAATCTGAAGACATGACACGGTCAGCTATCTGCAGACCCATTGGTTGGGAAATACAGAAAGGGACATAGCAACGGGTAAAGGAGCCTAGGAGACAGCACCACTCACTACACCCCAACACTGGCACCGGGCCCCACCTCCACAAACCCAGGACCTGCTGGCGAAAGGAAGCAGCTGAGCTGCCAGCTGCAAGGTGATCACGGGCCTTGGAATGTGACCCTGAACTACTGAGGGTGCCTGCTGGATACCTGCTCCAGGCCTCTGAAGGTGTTGGCATCACTACTTCCTCTCAGGAGCCCTTTAATGGTCTGGAGGGTTGCAATGGCAGTTTATTTATAGCTTTTTCTTTCTGGAAGTGTTGCTTCCTACCTCATACTGCAATTATTCCTTTATGCCTTGAACAATACATATTTACATAAAAATGCCTTATTTCAAGCTGGGTGTGGTGGTGAATGCCTGTGATCCCAGCACTCTGGAGGCTGAGGCAGGAGGATCACTGCTAGTTGGAGGCCAGCCTGGGCTACACATGAGTTCAAGACCATCCTGAACTACATAATGAGACCCTGTCTCTAAAAAAAAAAACTTTTAGGGCCAGGGGTTTAGCTCAGTGGTCTCGCCGCCAGCTGCGCAAGCTCAAGGACCCGAGTTCGATCCCCGGTACCAAAAAAAAAGTTTTATTTCCCCATTGTATTCAAGAACAGAGCTTTAATGGCAGAATCTTTAACTGTTACGTCTATGATGCTTCATAGCACTTTTCTTTAATTTGATTCTAAAATAAGAATAATAAAGTTCTCACTGAATGGGTACAGGAGCTGGAAAAGAGAGTACAGTTCACCCAGAACACTCCTCCCTGCACATATACTCATGCTTTAAGTCTAGTAGTTCTATCATTTTAGCCAGTAATTGATTGGCTCTTTGGGAAAACCACCCTGCAGATTTGGTTACATCCGGTGCTGGGTACCTTAGGTTTCACAGACCTGACCCACAAATGTTAATGGTTAGACGGGATTTCTGAGCCAGTGTGCCAGAATGAGCTCCATGTGACTCCAGAGACTATCCCGAAACCTCCCGAGTGCCTCCCTGCCTCAGTCAAGCTTGCTCGCTGAGTCCAGGCTGCTTCCTCCACTTACCCAGTTGTGCCACACAAATGCATTCATCCGCGCATGTCAGGACATGAACAAGCCCCAGGCCAGGCCAAAGCACAAGCCCAGGAACCACAGAAAATAAATCCATTGTCCTTTCCCCCCTTTGTGAAAAGGCATCAATTCATGACTTTTTACACCGTCGCTCAAGCACCTGTAGAAACAGAGGTCAAATAGAAGAACCTGAGAATGGGGGAGGTAGAGAGGGTCTCGGGGATGACCTGGTTGGTCCTCTTATGGGGGGTTCCCTGGGGTGGGGAGGCTACTATTGCTTTCTTTACACAGGAGGACCAGTGCTGGGACAGAACCTCAGAAAGTTATTGTCATCTTTCACAGGCCCAATACCGATCATGTTATGGTACATCTGCTAAAAGAATTTGCTGTAAAAATTAATGAGAAGGTCTTATGACTAGAAAAAAAGGGGTGCAAATGCAAAAGACATAAATATGTCTTTCTGGGCTGGGGATTTAGCTCAGTGGCGCCAGAACTGCCTCACAAGCGCAAGGTCCTGAGTTCAATCCCTGGTACCAAAAAAAAAAAAGTCTTTCTAAGCGGAACGTGGAAAAGGCAGGGTTTTTTTTTTTTTACAGGATGCAGCACCTTTATTTATATTTGTCTATTAATTTTTCTTCCCTGTTACTGTCTGATGCATTGGATAAAATTAAATGGGAACCCTATGCCTTCACTGCCAAGCTGGTACCTTTGGTCTGGAAAAATTTCCTCCAAAAGTCTGAAATCCAGGTTTTAAAACAAAAGTATAGAAACAAAAGCTTTGTTAAAGAAAGTCACTTAACCCTACAGTGCTGGTTTGTATCCCCACCAAAGGACTTGTTCAAAAGAGTGGAAACCTGTGTTTGGAAGAAGGAAAATCACAAGGTGTAGTAACAGAAGATTCGGTCCAGTGCATTCTAATCTTATGTTAAACTTGTATCCGGTGTGTGATTTAAGAGAAGCATTCAAATAAATATGAATTATGACAAGAAAATTCTAAAATCAACTTTTACCATGACATGGACTATGATAAATCTGAATAAGAATTTTAAATATCCAAGCTACCAGGAGAATTGGCCCTGTTAAATTGTTTAACCACATTCCTAGACAGAAGCAGAATGTTTCGTTTTGTTTTTAAATTGCAAATGTACCAAGTGCTTGGTGGAATAAAAAGCACCAAGAAATACACAAATACTAAAAAGTGAAAGTGCTTCCTTTTTTTCCAGTACTGAGGCTGGAATCAGAGCCTTCACACTGAGCTACAACCCCTGCCTCTTTTTTGTTTATTTTTCTTTAAGACTGGATCTCTCTAAGTTGCCCAGTTTGGGCTTGAATTTGTGATCCTCTTGCCTCATCCACCCACCATGCCTGGCTCTTTTGTTTTTGTTTGTGTTTTTCTTTTGGTACCAGGGATCGAACCTCAGGTCCTTGCGCTTGCGCCGCAGGCGGCGGCGAAACCACTGAGCTAAATCCCCAGCCCCTTGTTTTTGTTTGTGTTTTTAATCCCCACCTCATGTGGTAGAAGTAAAATGCAGCAACAGTGACTTGTCTCTTCCTCAGCTTCAGTAGCCAGAATGCACACTACCCACCTGCTTTCTACTTCAGGCACTTTGCAGTTTTGAGATTGTAACAAAACTTGCCCTTTCTGTCATTGTGTGACAAAATGTAGAAAATGGAAAAGCAAAGTTCCTGAACTGCTTATTAAGTTGGAAACCTGAAGTCAGGCCACTCCTCCTGATCGGATGGCTTTTCCCCCAAATGAGGAAGGAATGGGAAAATTACCCTTTTTTTAAAAAATCATCTTTTCGGGCAGCTGTTATTTTCCGTTTTCATTCTTTTGGAAGGAAAGAAGAAAATTGGCTGCACATTAAGTAGTTGAGACTTCTTAGGATCTACTGAGGTCCTGATAGACAGGCATCTGGGTCATGAGCCAAAAGGGACCTTCCGGTTTTCAGTGCAGAGCCAGAGGAGGCCAGCACCATGCTTTGGCTGGAGTCCTGGGGTATAGTATGGAGATTTGATAGACACAGCTCCTAATTTTTTTTTTTGGTACCGGGGATCAAACTCAGGACCTTGCGCTTGCAAGGCAGGCGGCAGCGCCACTGAGCTAAATCCCCGGCCAAACAGTTCTAATTTTTATGGCAATCCCCAATTCCAGATGCTCATTGTAATGTGTTTTTCCAGAATTGTTCTTGGTTCAGCCAAGACCCAAAGGCAGAGCTTGTCACATCTTGTTCCGATGATGGAACAAGAGAGCATTGTGGAGCGGGGTGGCTTTCTTTGGGGCTGTGGATTAGTAGGGAGGCATTGGCCAAGGGCCTGAGATTCAGTCAAGGTGTTCCTCCTGTGCACATGTCTGTGTTGATGCAGATGCGTGTAGACAGGCTGATGCCTCTCCTGAACTTGCCCTTGGACTTCAGCTTTTGCTCCTTTCTGACTCCATTCTCCTGTGCCGGAGTCATTTCCGTCCATCAGTCTGCTCCCTGCCACGTCCAGATGAAAGTGCTCCTGGCTCGCTGGCCAGGTAACCTAAGTCAGGACACTGGGGAGCCACTGAGGAAGCCTGATGTCTTCCAGGTGACAGGTCCGTGCAGGGTTTCTTGTGCTTAGTTTTTAGAAAGTGCCTGTTCACACTGCAGAGAAACTGGAGTTGAAATGGACTCTTGAAGTCATGTGTTCCGGCCTCCCACGAGAGGCAAAAGTCCCTGCTCTGTCCCCGAGAGGCGTCCAGCTTTCGCTCAGCAAATACTTCATCTGTATTCTAAAGAGCATTCGGCGCTGAGACAAAAGATCATGCAATATGCACAAA